AAAATTCAAAGTAACAAGAGTAAGAATGGAAGCTGCAACTCTGTATTCTAGAGGCAATGGGATTTTATGCCCAACTAAACTATTGATTAAGTGTGCCTGCATCCTGAAGATATTTTTAGGCAGTCAAGTTCTCATGTTTCCTAAATGAGTCACTGGAGTTACATAGAAATAGAAGAAATTAAAGCAAGAAAGAAAAGGCATGTGATTCAGAAGACAGTGACTACAACTCAGAAGATCAGTGAAAGGAAATCACAGGGTGATAAATGTGAAGCCTGGAAAGCAAGCAATACAAATGAAGTAGGATGGTGGAAGGACTTTAGAAAACATTCTGGGGTAAAAACCAGGGAGTCACAGACTAAAGTATATAGAATGTTTAACTGAGAGGATTAAAGCCTTTGAGGATGTAAAGGCTCAGAAAGCAATGAAAAATAAAACTCTGGGGGAAAAAAAAAACATCTGTACAAGAAATTCACGATCCAAAAATATATCAAACTAAACAATAGCATGATTATAAGCAAATGATGAAGCATAGCTTTAAAAATAAGGACATTATAATATGTGTGGCCGATATGGCATAGCATTGGACCCATGGATAAATTAATCCAATCTGGCAAATTACCTGGGGAAAAATTCCAAAATATTTACATGATAAATATGAAGTAAATGCTCATGACTAACTGACTGTTTTTTTCACATTTAGATTCAAAATATGCGGGGGACGGGGTGGGGGGTGGTGGGAAATAGAAGACTTGACTGTGGTTGTGAAACAACATAAACTTACTAACCTTCAAGTGTAAAAGAAAGGAGAATCTTTTGCACCAGGATCAAGGTGCATTTGTCTTTGAGAGTCACAGGGTCATGATACTGTAAGAAAGGGGAAGGAAGTCTAATACTTGGTGCTGCAGTAAGCAGCCTTACCTAATCATAATCATACGAATGCTGTTTTTTTGGTTTTCTGCTTTTAGAGTCAACCTATAAATAAGTCATAATTACAGAAACCAGTGAAATAATATAAAATTTCAAAACGCAGAAGACTCAATAGCAAAGGCAGAAGAGATGAAAGGGGCAAAGGACACTATGCTTCTCATCTTGCCAATGGATGCATTAAGTCTCAATTTTCTATGGTTAATAGAACAATAAATAGAGGTTCAAGTATGTTGGATGCTTCAGAGGAAGCCAACAGTAACAGCAAGACCGGCTATATTTGAGTATTTGGGGAAGAGAGGGCCAGGTAGATGAAGTCTAGTTTAATTAAGTCAGATTCATTGTAAAATAAATCTGAGGTAATGTCTAAGCTTTATAAATAAAGATATTAAAACATTACAGATAAGCAAGATATTGACAAAAATCTATACCCCAAATAACAATAACATAAGATAGGGAGGCAGCCGCCAGAAGAGCTGCGAACAGAAACCATTCCAAACGGTGCCCTGCAAGAAGGAAAACTGGGGTAAGGCAGGAAAACACTGCTTTTCATCATAAATCCTGGAGGCATACTATTTCATCCTCAGACTGGTTGTTTCCTCTACAATATACTGAGTAAAAAATACAAGTAGTGCAGCATTACTCTCAATTTCTGCTAATATCATCCAGTATGGTTTTGTCCATACAAAGATGAAAGAAACCACTTTCTAAATATACAGTACTTTCTAACTCTATCATTTTGATATAAGGAAACACTAGTTGCTCCTAAAAAACCAACCAATTGTTATCTTTTCTAAAAATTGCACTGCCAAGTGTTTTCTGTTCTTGGACGTCAATGCTGCCATTTGAAAGATTACATAAGGTAGTTTGGTTGACGCTAAAGGGCTATAATCTCAGTTCCAAAAGCAAGTAGAGGACATGTATAAGCACACCTACCACCCTAAAATGTACCCTCTTCCCTATAATTTACATATTATACTGATTGGAGTTTTGTTTTCTATGAGAGGCTCAATGTAATAAACTCATACTTTTAAAAAGCTCTTGCCATTCCCTTGGCAAATGTGAAAGCACTTGGAGAAATTGAAAGCTTTTCAGAAGCTACCACTGCAATGGCACAATGACTGCAATGCCCACCTGAGCTATTACGATTTCCTTCCACTGGGTGATCATTCAGAATTATCTGATGGCCCCTTTTTGGCATCACAATGTACCCTTCTCATTAGTCATATTAAAGAAATCAGAAAATGCAGCCCCATCAAGAGACTGCTTCCAGATCTAAAACCTGGCCAAAGAAATCACATATTGGCTAGGTCTCCGTGAGTCCTAAAAACAGGTTTTGAAGAAAGGCTTTGTGACTGAGCTTAGACTGTGTGATACTGGGACAGTTTTCTTTTCACATAAAGTACTTTGTGAATATAGTTCTGCTGGGCATTTAAAGTCCATAAAACACAGCCTTTCCTGCCCCACAGTGAGGGCTCAATAAAGGCTGGCTGAATTCAAAACTCAGGCCTCTCAGTCTGTTGGGAACACTACATAAAAGAGTCAACACTTAGAAAAGTGTTTTCAAGCCCCCCCCCCAACCCCCCAGGTATCAGGAAGCACACTTGTAAGACGCAAACTACCAAAGCTTTCCCAAACCTTGGTAATGGAGGCCTTTATTCCACATGTGGAAAATTAAACAGTTTAAAGAATTTGATATATATTCTTTGGTCAAATGCACTGCAGAATAAATTTAAAGGCATTATCCCTCTTTCTAAATAATTCTTCTCTTGAAAGAGTTAAGTCATTTTACTTGGAGAAATTAAATATTTAACTGTTAATCATTAATTTATGTTATGTGAGTTTTCATAACCAATCAGAAACACTGATTTCATCGGCTTTTTCTAAGTCTTTGCCTTAGATATGCTAAGAAAATGGACTTAAAGTACTAAATTTGACTAGGCCTGCGTTTTTTAAAAATTGGTTTAATCCTTTCTACTCGGTTAAAAAAAAAAGTCTCAGAAGAAGCCTTACAAAAAATTCACAGTTAAAACTGAAACAAGCCCAAGAAGTGACTATATTTGCATAACTTGAACTGTATTTGGAAGAAAATTCCACTGAAGACAACAATGGAAGCTTATCAAATTGGAATTTCACATAGATTTTCCATAGCCCTACTAATGAATACTGACTCATTGGTCAGCTATGGTGAAAATGTAATGGAGCTCTAAGATAGGAAATGTATCATTGGAGTGTGTTCGGTGGTTCCATGACATCAGTATGAAAACTGCATCAGGCATCCGGTTTCTCTGCCGCTTTCTGAGACCAATTCTAGAGCACTATGGTTATTAATTCTTTAGCATTTTGACTGGGGCCAGACTGTGCCACTGAATTAAAACCCCTTTTATTTTGCCACAGTCATGAAAAATTTGGACTTTATGCCAGATTGGGATTGTTTGGGCTACTTATCTGGTTTTATATTTTGTCAGGATGGCAGGTAACATGCTACTGAATCCTTTCTAAGAAACTTTTAATATAGGGGATAAATTCGAAGGCAGAATTGAAGGTACTACTGTATTACTATATGAAGTTGGATCTGTAGAGGACCAAATGCTGTCCACTGAGGACACTTCAGAGAGTAAAAGTCTGAGCTAAGACTGATTTAAAGCACGTTCTAGTTCTACTTGCAAATGCTTACATTCTAAGAATGTTCCATTCTATTAGTGATAGGTATGCTCATGCTGCATAAAAGTTCACCTTTCACAATTGGTTCAGAATGCTCGATGATTTTTGTGATATGTTCACCTCTTTTAAAATGGACTGAAATTGATAGGTCAAACAGTTAGTCTAAACTATTGAAATAATTCTCATTCTAAGTAGTGCTGAAAATATTATCTGCTTTGTCCTATTCCTGAGAAATAATTGCATATTAAATCACTTTTTGATTTCTATAAGGATCAGTCTTTCCACTTTGTTCTCAAAGTTTATTTTAGGACTTTATTTTAGCCCAAATTCTTTTCAAATTCTTTCTTGTATTTAACTTTCAAAATATATGCATCAGTTAGAAAATTTGAAAACCAGAGAGAATAATGGACTTGACGCATATGTTTTCTTCTTAGGAAAATAATACATTTGCCTGTGTGATCTAAGTGATGATTTCCAGTGATAGAAATCTACATCACTGGTTTTATCTGTCCATCCATCCTTTCATCTATCTGGTACACTACCGGTAATAACGACAGTAATGAATTATAATGGCATTAATAATAGCAGAGGACATTTCTTGAATAATTATGTTCCAGAAACTCTGTTAAATCCTTTAAATGGATTATCTCATTTATTTGTTTTAGTGGCCCTCTCGGTGGTGGGTATAAGTATACCCATTTAACAGAAGAGGTATCTGAGGCTCAGAGATCATAACTTGTTCAATGTCCATATTAGTGAGTGGTAGAACTAAGGTCTGAATTCCAATTACAGTCTCTTGCCAGAGTTTTTTTTTATTCTGGTGGCTGGGCTGGTCTAGGATATTTTATATACTTTAGATATATTTGCAAAAGTACCTGCTTATTTCAGTTTAGGTTGAGTTCTAGGTTCTCCAGCTCTCAAATCTGTAAGTTTTCATGACACTAGTTTATCTTGGACTTTCCTCCTAGCACTTTCTTCCTCGCACTTACTTCAGACTATGACTACATGATCAGACAACTTATAGTACAAATCAGGACTCATCTGAGAATGAAAAGGGCTGCTGTTACTAAGTATTCTGGGACGACAGGTATAACTAGGATTGTCCAGGCATGTGGGGACATGGGATCATTCTGATGGGCCACTAGGATATTTCTTCTCGGCTGCTGGTCCAGAGCCCAGATCCTCTGAGGGCAACACTAGGTGTTTTTTTTCAATGATCCTCTGACACAACCTTTATTTTCTCAGGATTAGTTTTCTGGACAACTATTTTTTCCTCTGTTATAGAGCAGAACACTTAATAAGCAACCTAAAAAGACTAAAATATCTTAATACTCCTTTAGAGCTGAATAACTATGGACACAGAGGCACATTTATTTATCACTGTTACAGTAAAAGTATAAAATGTTCTATACCTTTAATAAGTCCTTTTTCTTGCAGAGTTTTCAGGGAAGGTCTTCGGGTAATAAACTTCTTTAATCTGCTTTTAACTCGGTTTTTGTCGCTTGTATCAGAAGCACTATGATGCAGTCTGAACACTGGAGATTTAAAAAAAAGAGGCTTTCAGTAAATTTTTCCTTTATGATTATTACTTTATGCAAATATGAATAGAAAACAGTAGTTATGGGACAACTACCTGAATTAATAGCTCAGGCCCTTCTGTTTAGACAGGGCATAGGAGTAAAAATTTGCCCATATGAAAATATTAGCTCTGTTGCAACATGCATGTGTAATGAGAATGTGGTTAGCTCCATATTTTCACAATTTATTTCACATTCATTTCCTCATATTTACCACAATAATCTTTATCTGTATAATTCCACCTAACTGTATCCATACACAAAATTGTAGAAAAGTTAATCTAACTTAGAGATAAAAAAGCTCTGGTTGGGCTTCCCTGGTGGCGCAGTGGTTGAGAGTCCGCCTGCCGATGCAGGGGACGCGGGTTCGGGCCCCGGTCCGGGAAGATCCCACATGCCGCGGAGCGGCTGAGCCCGTGAGCCATGGCCGCTGAGCCTGCGCGTCCGGAGCCTGTGCTCCACAATGGGAGAGGCCACATCAGTGAGAGGCCCGCATACCGCAAAAAAAAAAAAAAAAAAAAAAAAAGCTCTGGTTAATTTCAATTAATTGTGATTATATACTGCCTGTAGGAAATGCAGGCATTTTCAAAGATCCTGCTTGCCCAAATAATTTCATCAATTTTCTTTATCAAGTTAACCCAAAGTGATTTCTTTTTCAGAAAGCAGATATTTTTTACTCTTCTTATTTGTGCGAAATTACCACTAGGTGAAATTCTGTAACACATATTGCCTCAAACTTCTGCCATGTCTTCATCAGTCCCCCATCCTCAGTTTCCTAGCCTCACTGTTATCTTCAAAGTTAGGTGTGCATCAAATTCATTTCCTAAGCAAATATTTGCTGAATGTCTACTGATTATCACATCCCGTGCTAAACGCTGTGAATTCAATGATGAACGTAACACTTAAGGTCTGTACCTTCATTAAGCATGGAGTCTAAATACATTCAAGTTATCTTATTATTAATGACTTTATTAACTAACTTGTTAACAATGATTCTTATCATTAATAATTCCTGAAATGATAGGAATTTATTATCTGTATGACCTGAGATACAGATCGTAAGTGGGCCCTTCACTGTCTTAACCTAATTACTGACGTCATGTGAGGATTTGGGGCACTTAAGTAGGAACATAGAGGTTCTTTTCCTCTCAAATCATATTTTAGAATAAGCCAATCATTCAGTTGGGTTAATAATAATATGACTAAAATGTATTGATACCGTAATTTATGCTTGATATTCTCCTAAACACCTAACATGATTTAACCTAATTCTACTGCAATGTAAGCTACATGTAGGCAGGGATTTTTATCTACTTTTACAAATGTTGTTCACTGATGTGTCCCTAATACCTCAAACACTGTTTAGAATTAGTAAGTGTTTAGTCAATATTTGTTGAATCAAATCTCAAATGACCTTTTGAAGTATATAAACTAATTCATCCATTTTAGAGATGAAGAAGCTAAGTCAGAGAGTCAAGCTAAGTAACTTGTCCAAGGTCCAGTTTGGATATGGGACCAGTCTCATAGGATTTTTATCTGGTATTCTAATGTATTGGAGTATTGGTGAAAGAATGGAAGGGGAAGGAAAACAGAAATATCAGGAGCTCACGTAGTCATTTCAAGTACAATGGTTTTAATCAACTAAAATTTTTTAAGTAGCTATTGGGTGCAAAACACTTTACTAAGTTACAGCTGTAGGGGAGCTTCACTTGAGTCATTCTATCCTCTCCTGAGGAACTCAGAAGAGAAAAGAGAGAGACTTAGGAGGGAGCTGCAGCTGGAAGAAAATAAATTGCCTGAATTAGAGGATCTGAAGTCAAATTTTCCCAGTGGGGTCTCCAAGGAACCCGCAAAAGTGCCTAAGGGAGAGTGTATGCTTTAAAAATTCTGCCAGGCCTAGAGTGTGAGAAGCTTTCTTATAACTGGTCAAATAAGGACATTTTTGCAATCTCCTTCCTCTAGCTTTGACCACAAAGTAGTTATAAACTTGTGTTAGCAAAATGGGGAGTTGGAGTGAAGTGTTAGGCTAAGGAAAAGAAGAGGAAAGCATCCTGCCCCCCTCCTAGCTAAGTGTAGAGTGGAGTTTTAATTTTAAATTAAGTTCAAAATTTTGATTATCACATGGGGTTATACACTATTAAATACTGAGTTGAGACAGTACTTGCCACTTATAAGACCATAATATCTTATATTACCTCAAAGTAAGGTTCTCAATCTTAGTACTATTGATATTCTAGGCCCCAAAATTCTTTTTTGCAGGGAGTTGCTCTGTACAGGATAAGGATGTTGAGAAGCCTCCCTGGCCTCTACCCACAATATGTCAGTAGCACACTCTCCTCAGTTGTGACAATCAAAAATGTCTCCAGACATTGCTAAATGTCTTCTGGGGTGAGAGGGGGAAAAAGTGCTCCCTGCTGAGAATCATTCCCTTAAACTGAAGGGACAAGTTATAGGACCTGCTTCAGTTCTTGTTTATTGGTGGTGGAAGGGCTACTCCCACGCTGACAAAATGTAAAGCAACAGTGAAAAGCAAAAAAAAAAAAACCCTATTATTTTAATAATATATCTCTCTATAAGTAGCATGTATATAAAAATATATATGTAAAACATACATGTCTGATCTATCATCTATCTATTGTCTATCTATCTGCTATCTATTAATTAAATGAGCTGTTTATAAAAGTACAACCACTCTCATGTGAGTGTGGTCAATGGGTCTATCACTTGAAAAGGTTGGGAAGCACTGCTGTAGACCAGAGCGTCCCAACTATTATATCTGACAGGATGGTTATGTAGAGTGAGATTTACGGATGCCCTCAGCACTCTGTGTAATTGAGCAGGACCAAGGCAACCTGAGCCCCTGGGAAATTGTTGTTGGCTATGAGCAGTCTTATTTATTTGTTCCAGTGGGCTATGCAAATATTATCATTTTTTTTGTGTATTTGAACATAAAATGGTTTGAGGAGCACTGCTTTAGACCTGTGTTGTCCAATATGGTAGCCACTAGTCACTCAGGGCTATTGAGTATTTGCAATGCAGCTTGTGTCATAGGTTGAAATAATAATGTTTTGGATATTTTTGTTAAAAAATATATTGTTAAAATTAATATATTATTAAAACTTGTTACTTTAAAAAATGTGGCTATGAGAAGATTTTAAATTACACACATAGCTCAGATATTTTTGGACAGTGCTGCTAGGTGATACACACACACACACACACACACACACACACACACACACATTGACCACCTACTGAATACATGGCAGTGCTGGATTTAACTGTTGTGGATAGAAATGCGTATGGTCTATGTAGTAATAATACATCATGATAAGGAGTTTGAAGTATAAGAGACTAAGGGTTCTTAGAGGAGGAACAGACCTCAGGTCATTTTGGAGAAATAGCAAGTGCCTTGAAAACCCATGCAAGCCATAGTTGCTTTTACAGGATCATGAATGTCAGGCATTAACTGATTCAAAACTGTATGACTGGATGAGTCATTCTGAGTGTCTTAATATACTGTGCTTATATGCTATCCTATCAACTTTCATCTGGGTCCAGTCATATATAATCTGCTCCAATTGATAGCTGTATCAAAGCCCCGTGGCTCTGGGTTCTAGTACTGGGAGCTAAAGGAACACTTATCCTTCAGGAAAAATCTACCTCAGTAATTCTGGTCTCAAGTCTGTCTGCCTTTGAAATGATATGGAATAATCAATCTAAATTTTCACAGGTTACCATTTTCTATGTCTAGTCTCACCTCAAAATCTTGTCATTTTCCATGATAGAATGTCAAGAAATGAAGGGCCAAAAGAGGTATTTTTTCGGCCAGTTAGGGACTAGTAAATATGATATGATTAAAAAGTACTTTTTAAATTAAAACACATACATGTGGTATAAATGTGACATTATGGAAGTAATTATATAGTGTATATATATATATTGTTTTCAATACCAACTTCTGCCTCCACATGTGAGAAATGTATGTAAGGTACACTGGTTTTTCAAGAAAAATGAAAGTGTATTTTAAAATGTTTTAGCCTGTTTCTTTCTCATACATTCTGAGAAACTAGCAGAGTCTTGAATATGATTACACAGTTTTTAACATAGCCAAACTATCCGAAGTTGCCTCTAATGATGACTTTCCTGGAGACAGACTAGAGTGTCAACTTCCATTTCCTGATGCCATAAATAATCGTCCTCAGATGACAAGTCAAATTGCCAGGCCTTTGCCATCATTCATTCTGCTCACTTTGTTCTAAGAAGAGATCCGCAGAAGTTAAAGTCAATAGATGACTATAATATATGGCATAATTTTTATTAACCAAATAACTTGAAAGCGCTGTAAATACAAACTAAAAATGTAAAGAGCACATGGTTATAAAGCAAAGTCCATCACTGGACCCCTGTAAACAGCAATAAAACTCTTTGAATATTGTGGTTTACAAATCTGATTTTAACAGCCAAACTTATAAAACAGTTTACGTTTTTCTGTTGTCAAGGGAGAAAAACTTGCCAAATTGTTCATTTTAAGTAAATACAACATAACCAATTAAGGAAAGCAAAATTTAAACACATGCCTATGGTAATCAGGACATAGTTTGCTTCTGATTTCACTACTGATTTTAACAGAACAGTGTTCCTTCCACTTTCCCACAGCACCCAAGTGACCCCACACATACTTTTAGAAACTTGTAATCACACAGTGCAAATAAAAGGACACTTTACTGGAAAATACCCAGTGTGGTACAATAATCCATCATTTATGAAAAATAGAATTCAGCCTTTTCTCTTTCCTCAGAGATTCAACTACTTTTTGAGAGTGAAGCTTACTGCAATTTAAAGATTTATGTTAAGCCAATGAGCAGTTTTTTTCCGTTCCCATTTAAACTTTTTATTCAAAAATGAAAAGAGACTGAAGAGATAGGGGTTTAAATTCCAAAGCATTTAATCTGATT